GGGGAGCCCGGTTCCACCTGGCTGATGAGCGGGGTGATTTTTGGTCCACTTTGGGTGTTTTTGGGGTCATTTGCGGAGCTCCAACTTTGATTTGTGAGTGGAGGAATGCAGCCTCCCAGCTGAACGGGGGTCGGTCCGGGGGACGGGCGGCTGTCCGGGAACTGGGCTGGAAGCTGGGATGGGTCCAGGGTCTGGTCAGGGCTTGGTCCGGACTCGGTCTGGTCTGGTCCCTGTTTTCCGGGTTTTGTCCGGACCCGGTCTAGGTTTGTTCCTGGGTCGGTCCAGACTCCATCCAGGTTTGGTCCGGTCTTGAACCAGGTTTGGTCCGGACTTAATCCAGGTTTGGTCCGGTCTCGGTCCGGTCTGGTCAGGGTTGTATTCCGGGCTCCATCTGGCTCTGGTCCAGGCTCAGTCTGGGTTTTATCATGGTTTGCTCCGGGTTTGGTAAACAGAAGAGAGTCCAGTTCTCCCATATGGACCAAACCTGAGCCGGGGTCCATCTGGGTTCGGTCTGGACTTTGTCTGGGTTTTATTCTGGACTTGACCTGGGTTTTATTCCAGTCTGGGTCCCGGCCTTATTCCGGACTCGGTCCCGGCCTTATTCCGGACTCGGTCTGGTCTGGTCCCTGTTTTCCGGGTTTTCTGTAGCTAACCCGTCCCCCTGAGGACCCCGGCTGATGTGGGACCTGGTCTGGGTTTTATTCCGGGTTAGGCCCTGGACTTTTCCGGGTTTTGTTCCGGGTTTATTCCGGTTCCAGTTTTCCGAGTTCATGTAGTTATCCAGCCCCCTTGTGGACCAAACTGGGACTCAGTCCGGGTTTTATTCTGGGTTTTACTCCGGTCTGGGTCCTGGTTTTCCAGGTTTTAAGAATGTAAATGTATTACTGCTTATCCCGATTTTTTTCCGGATTTATGTCGTTACTTGACTCTGTCTGGGTTTTACTCCAGGTTTATTCCAGCCCGGGTCCCGGTTTTCCGGGTTTCTGTAGCTAATGTATTCCCGGCTGAGCTGGGAATCGGTCCGGGTTTTATCCCGGTTTTCCGGGTTTTACTTTTTTAATGTATCCATCCCCCCTGTAGACCACAGCTTTGCTGGGACTTGGTCCTGGCCTTGTCCGGGTTTTATCCTGGCCTGGTTCCCGGTTTTCAGGGTTTCTGTAGTTACATAAGTTAGTTACATGAGTCCTGGCCTTGTCCGGGTTTTATTTCAGCCTTTATTCCGGGTTTTACCCCGGCCTGCGTCCCGGTGGTCCGGGTTTTGGTGGATGTAACTGCATTCCTGGCTGAGGTGGGAGTCGGCCTGGGTCCCGGTTTTCCGGGTTTATGTAGTTACATACGCTAGTTACATAGGTCCTGGCCTTGTCTGGGTGTTATTCCGGGTTTTTCTCCGGGTTTTACCCTAGTCTGGGTCCCGGTTTTCCGGGCTCTGGAGAATGTATTCCTGGCTGAGGTGGGAGTCGGCTTGCGTCCCGGTTTTCCAGGGTTTTTTGTAGCTACATAAGTTACATAGTTAGATAGCTCCTGGCCTTGTCCGGGTGTTATTCAGGGTTTTATTCCGGGTTGTTTTCCGGGTTTAAGTAGTTACATACGTTAGTTACATGGGTCCCGGCCTTGTCCGGGTTTTA